TGAACCGCTTGAGGGAAACCGAGGCAGCCCTAGCGACCTTTGGTTATCGGGGAACTCTGGGCCATGTGACTTCATCTTCCCATCAAACAAAAATCCACAGAAATCGGGAGTTTCTGGAACTTCGCAGCCGTTGAACTCGTCCTCTGTGACAAGCGGATGCCTGTTCTGTTTTCAGAACTGAGTCAGACTAATTTCTTCGCTGCCGTCTCAGTTGTTTCCACAAAGTCTGGATGCACAGGGGCAGGATTTTAAAGAAGCCGTGGGGCGAAGCTTCACCATGACTTCCCAGGCTGGGAGCCGTGCCCGGCTTGTGGGATGATCCTCCGGACCGGTCTGTTTGCCCGCCGTGGGGTCAGATGGTTCTTCCAGTCTTGGAGTCTCCGTTTCTCTCAGGCTGCGAAAGGTGCGATGTTGCGAAACGTCCAGAAGGTGCTGTGCGTGGCGGAGAAGAACGACGCTGCCAGGGGGATTGCGGACATACTTTCCAACAGCAGGATGAGACGGGTAGGAGAAATGTAAAAATCTTGGGATATATCGGCTACCCCAGCAATACTCGCTCATTGGCTTGGGAGCCACATGGGGCTCCTTGGCATGCCCCCCACATGACTCTTTGGCATGCCACCTGGATTTATCTTTTGAGGACCGTTCCTCAATGTGGCACCTGCCCCCATATTTCAGGAAAGTGGGGAAGGCCATAATCTGGGGGGGGGGGGTTGTGGTTGGCAGATGGTGTCCGCTGGAGAGATGGGTAAACTGAGAGCCTCCCAGAAGTGTGTTTCAGAGGGTATCCTTTTTGGTCCGCAGTAGAACAACTAGATTCGAATCCAGTACCACCTTAGAGACCAACAAGATTTTGGGGCTGTAAGCTTTTGAGACTCAGAGCTCCCTTTGAGAGCTGGTTTAGTGTAGTGGTTAGGAGCGGTGGACTCTAATCTGGGAGAACCAGGTTTGATTCCCCACTCCTCCTCCACATGCAGTCAGCTGGGTGACCTTGGGCCAGTCACAGTTCTCTCTCAGAAGACTTCTCTCAGGAGCAGTTCTGGAAAGCGCTCTCTCAGCCCCACTTACCTCACAGGGGGTCTGTCGTGGGGAGGGGAAGGGAAAGGAGTTTGTAAGCCGCTCTGAGACTCCAAGTGAAGGGTGGCTGGGTATAAATCCAATCTCCTCTTCTTCTTTATCATCGTCAGATATCTGATGGGGGGGGGGTTGACTCTCAAAAGCGTATAGCCTGGAAATCTTGTCAGTCTCTAAGGTGCTACCGGATTCGAATCTCGCTGCCCAAAAGTGTGGGTTAGATTCTGACACGTTTTCAGTCAGTCGACATGTACAACCAACACTGAGGGTCGGTTCAGAGCCAGTGACGAGGGTTGGCATGTTCAGGTAGCTTCCAAGTCCCCAAAGAGGGTGCACCACCAGTTGTGAGGGACAGATTGTGAAACAGCATGAAAGAGTTGTGCCTGACTCCGGACGGGGAAGGTGCGCATGTACTTGAAGAAAAGCCCAGCTGGTGGGTAGTTTTACCAAGCTCTTTAAAACGTGGAATTATAATTGCCCAGGTCAGCGTTCCCACATGGAAAGCATTAAGATGCAGCCTGTGCACAGATTAGCGGCTGTGACAATTGTAGGAATGAGCACATGTTAGAAAGATCTCTGGCTTTTCTGAACATGTCTGCACAGCAAAATCCTTGCTTATCATGAATTCAGTGGTACTTAAAACGTGATGTTGAAATAAATATAGAGTTAGGGCTTGTCCCACTATGTTATAAGTGCAGAAGCCCTGACCCCCTGACCCCACTTAAAGGTGTTTGGCACTTATCTGTCCAGGGCCAGAGATGTTTTCACTGTAGCATGGTTTAGATCTGGAGTGTCGAACTCATTTGTTATGAGGGCCGGGTCTGACATGAATGAGACCTTGTTGGGCCGGGCCACGTGTGTCATAAAATGTAATGCCAGGTAGCTTTATAACTTTATAAAACTTTAAACTTTATAAAGGACACAAACACAAAGGGCTTTTTTAGCTTAAAATCATGCTTAAAACATTAGCACTCTTGCAATATTTTGTTTGTCTGAAAACTGACACCTCTGCTTTGAATCATTGCATCAAAATGTCTGTGCTGTTGCAATCTTGAGTATGCTGTTCAGGTGTGTATCTGTAAGCTGCAAATCTACGATGACGCAGCAGCAGCAGAACTGGAAGAAGAAGCAGAAGACAGCCAGTTCCACTGCGGGCCTGATAGAAGCCCTACGGAGGCCTCATCCGGCCCCCGGGCTGCATGTTTGACACCCCTGGTTTAGATGAAACAACAAACTGCAGTTTGTTGTTACATGGAGGATCTTTGGTCTCATGTGCTGCCTTTCCTCTGCCTGCATGTAGCTCAATAATTAAATGCTTCTGTTTTCACAGCAAATCATATTTGTTGGTGTATTGGGATCCCAAGCTGTGGTTTGTTCTCGGCCCGCCGAGTCAGGATTAAATTCTAGGTCAGAAGGCAGAGAACAAACCACAAGTGTATAGTTTGGAAATAGACAAATTGTGGTTTGCTATGAATATGATGCGTCCAGTTATTAAGTAGTATTTAGGGGAGGGAGCCCAAAGATTCTTCCAGAGTTCTTCCAGAGTTGTTTTTAGCTACCAACAAACATCCAAACCCTTGAGAGCCAGTTTGGTGTGGTGGTTAGGAGCACGGACTTTAACCTGGGAGAACCAGGTTTGATTCTCCACTCTTCCACATGCAGCTGCTGGTGTGACGTTGGGTCAGTTACAAGTTATTTCAGAGCTGTTCTCTCATGAGCAGTTCTTGTAAGAGCTCTCTCAGCCCCACCTTCCTCACAGGGTGTGGGGAGGGGAAGGGAAAGGAGTTTGTAAGCTGCTCTGAGACACCTTCGGGTAGTGAAGGGCAGGGTATAAATCCAACCTCTTTTCTTTTTTTATCTTTCCTGAGCTTACCTATTAAACGGACTGAGAACTAGCAGCTTATTATGTACTCAAATTATTTTGTTTTCTTTCTAGAGAGAAGGTCTTTCCAAATACAACAAGATCTATGAATATCAATGTTACATGTTTGGTCAGGTATGTTTCAAATTATCTTTTGCAGTTGTTTATTTCTCTTTCTTTAGACGTAAGCAGGGCTATTTTTGGGCAGGAACGCACAGGAACGGAGTTCCGGCTGGCTCCTGCGTTAGCCACGCCCAGCAGGAACTCATTAGCATAATAGGCCACACCCAACAGCAGAATCTCATTAGGATTGGCTAAATTAGGGGTGTGTGGCCTAACATGCAAAGGAGTTCCTGCTACAAAAAAGCCCTGAGTTTTGACAACAAAGCAAACAGAATAAGAAGCAAAAGGTGGGTGTGGCTGGATGAGCACACTTCTGATAACATGGGGGTGTGGCTTAATATGCTAATGAGATATGCTGTCAGGGGTGTGGCCTAATATGCTAATGAGTTTCTGTTGTTGGGTGTGGCCTATTATGCTAATGAATTCCTGCTGGGCTTTTGCTACAAAAAAAGCCCTGAACGTAAGTATAGCTAGCAGTTTGAAAGCAAGAAAATTGCAAGTAGATAAATAGGTCCCCGGGCTTTGGTGGGAAGGCAATGGCGTTCTGTGCGCCTCAGCGTTTAGTCATGCCGGCCACATGATCACAGAAAAAGTCTTCGAACTGCGTTGGCTCTTCGGCTTGGAAACAGAGATGAGCTCCGCTCCCTAGAATCGGAGTCAGCTGGCTTTCGAGCAAGGGAAACGTTTACCTTATAGCTATGAAACGTACATACAAATACGCATGTGACATACAGGGCGGCTTTGCACCTTAATTCAACTTCAAGTGGAGCTAATCCATGTTCCTCTGGTTTCTGCAGAACGTCTCGGTGGTGATGACGTCCGTTTCAGGACATCTCCTGGCTCACGATTTCAAGATGCCATTTAAAAAATGGTTTGTATAGGTTGAGATCTCCCCGGGGAGCTATAAATGCTTCCTTAAGTGTATGCTTTAACCTAAGGGGCAAAACCTGTCAGAGAAATGGATCGCTTGTATTCTGGAGATGTGTTCAGAGCCCAGAATGCCCAAACTGAGAGCCAGTTGGGTGTAGTGGTTAAGAGCGGGGGACTCTGATCTGGGAGAACTGGGTTTGATCCCCCACTCCTCCACATGCAGCAAGCTGGGTGACCTTTGGTCAGTCACAACTTCTCTCAGGAGCAGTCCTTGAAAGAGCTCTCTCAGCCCCATCTGCCTCACAGGGTGTCTGTTGTGGGGAGGGGAAGGGGAAGGATATTGTAAGCTGCTCTGAGACTCCTTCGGGTAGTGGAGGGCAGGGTATAAACCCAATCTCTTCTTCCTCTTCTGATTGCTGGCTTCGGGCTTTGCCTATTTTAACCTTGTTTTGATACTCCTTCCACCAGGCACAGCTGCAACCCCCTTCTCCTTTTCGAAGCCGAAATCGAGAAATACTGCCCTGAGAACTACATTGACATTAAGGTTTGTACCACTGCTAAAGTTATCTGCTGGCTGTTCTTCAGCCATCGCGTATATCATCTGCTTTGGCGGAGCTTCGTCTAGCGTGACGTCTTCCGTTTGCGCTTCTCGTGTCTTCCGAAGCACTTTCCCACCTTTCTGGAACCAAGCTTTCGGAACCTGTTGGGGAGCTCAAGCGTCCTGACGCAATGTTCCCTCTAAGCTGTGGAGTCTTGTGAACAAAAATTCTACTTTGTGAGCTACCGGCATGAAAGTGGTGAGCAAGTGATTTGGCTACTGGATAAACCAGTTTTCTCTGGAGCCATCCCTTCCTGAGCTAAGACAAAAATGTGTGAGCCGGAGGCTAAAAAACTCTGAGCTAGCTCACACTGACTCAGCTTAGAGGGAACACTGGTTCTGAGTTGTCCCAATGTGTCCACAAGACCCCAAAGGGGGGGGGGATACTTCATTGGAAGCTGGTGCAAACGAAGGAGTCCCTCCTCTCATCCAATTTCTGACTTCCAGCGAACCCTGGAGCGAGAAGTCCAGCACTGCCAAGCGCTGTTGATCTGGACGGACTGCGACCGCGAAGGAGAGAACATCGGCTTTGAGATCATTCACGTCTGCAAAGCAGGTGCCTTGCGAGGGCAGGGCGGGATATAGGGCGCCCCTCCTGTTTGAAAACCATTTTCTTCAAATAAAGGAAGAATTTACCTGTTGTAGATTTCCCAGGCTGTGTGGCTGTGATCTGGGCATGGTAGGACCTGACGTTTCGCCAGTAGCTGTGACTGGCATCCTCAGAGGTATAACACAGAAAGAGGGAGTGCTCTCTCTGTGTCAAGGTTAGGAAGAATTGTCCACAAATGATAGCATCTTGACTAGATAATGGCGCGAGCGGCTGCAGAGCGTGGGGACACTTAGCAACATCTGTCTTGTCCCTCGTGGTGCTTTCCCTTCTTTCCCCACCCATTCATGCCGCTCCTTCAGAGCGCAGAAGGAACTGAAGTTCTGATTTTGTTTTCCATATTGTTTGCTCAGGAAATAATCTTCCACCGTTTCATTGAGACAGTACTGTAGTGCTTAAGAGCAGCGGACTCTAATCTGGAGAACCGGGTTTGAGTCCCCACTCCTCCTCCACATGAAGCCCGCTGGGTGACCTTGGGCCAGTCACGGTTCTCCTGAAGCCCGCTGGGTGACCTTGGGCCAGTCACGGTTCTCCCAGAACTCTCTCTCTCAGCCCCACCTACTTCACAAGGTGCCTGTTGTGGGGAGAGGAAGGGAAGGTGATTGGAAGCCGCTTTGAGACTCCTTATGGGTAAAGAAAAGCAGCGTATAAAAGCCAACTCTTCTTTTTCTTTGTTGTTTTGTGGGCACTCTGGTAATTAGGACTCACCTGGAGCCCAACTTGCAGAAATGGCCGTTTCCTTCCCTAGCTCTGAAGCGCAGTTATAGCACCTCCTTAACTGCCTGGAGGGGGAAAAAAGATTCTGCCCTTTTAACAGAGGCTTAATGTGATGCTGAACAAAGTGTGGGTCCAGTGGCACCTTTACGGCCATCAAAGTTTTATTCACGGGGTAAGCTTTCGTGTGCAAGCACAAGTGTGAATAAAACTTTGATGGCCGTAAAGGTGCCGCTGGACCCACACTTTGTTCTGCTGCTGTTCAGACCCACACGGCCACCCCACCTGAATCTACCTTAATGTGATGCTGTTTACCTCCCTGCCACAAAATGCTTTGGTTGTCCATTTCCACGTATTAAGCCTCTATTCAAGGGGCAGGACGTCTTTCCTCGGGTCTGTCGGCAACCGTGTTAAGCCAGTCTCTCTCTTTCTCTCTCTCTCTGTGGTCGGCAGTGAAACCGAACCTCCAGGTATTCCGAGCCCGTTTCTCCGAGATCACGCCGCGTGCCATCAGGAACGCCTGCGAGAACCTGTGCCAGCCCGATCAGAACGTCAGCGATGCTGTGGACGTTAGGCAAGAACTGGACCTCAGGATAGGTATTGCAGCAAGGGGGGGCTGGGTGGTTGATGGACAACCCTCTCCGTGCAGCATAAATGCTCAGGATCCTGGGCTAGAGGGGTGGCGAAACGGACTCGGTAGCAAAACTAACCTAAAGGCTGTTCTGGCATTTCCTCAGTGTGATTCTCCCAAAGAGCAGGCGCTTGGTCTGTGTATGTGTTGAGTTTTCCAGAAACATAGAGTGTTTGTTTATCTATTTATTTCAATTTATAACCCACCCTTCCCGCAAGCGGGCTCAGGGCCAGCTGCAACAATAAATTGCAACCAGTAGACTATTAAAAGTGAATATCAAGCAATAAAAACAGTTAAAATGGTTAAAAGATAAACATAGCAGTAATTACATATTCAGCAGTCCTAAAGCTGGGGACAATCGGGCTGCGGCCGAACCACAAAGATCTGAACCACAGCTGCCTATGAATAGCCGAACTGCAGCCGCTGCAACTGGGATATTATAGCTTTGGAAAAAGTGCAGAAAAGGGCAACTCGAATGATAAAAGGGTTGGAACACTTTCCCTATGAGGAAAGGTTAAGGCGCTTGGGGCTCTTTAGCTTGGAGAAAAGACGACCGAGGGGTGACATGATCGAGATTTACAAGATTATGCATGGGATAGAGCAGGTAGAGGAAGAGGTACTTTTCTCCCTTTCTCACAATACAAGAACTCATGGGCACTCAATGAAATTGCTGAGCGGTCGGGTTAGAATGGATAAAAGGAAGTCCTTCTTCACCCAAACAGTGATTAACACTTGGAATTCACTGCCACAGGAAGTGGTGGCGGTTACAAGCATGGACGGCTTCAAAAGGGAATTAGATAGGCATATGGAGCAGAGGTCCATCAGTGGCTATTAGCCTCAAGGTATAGATAGGGGCTCTGGGGCAAGTGATGCTCTGTCTTCTTGGTGCTTGGGGGGGGGGTTTCAACAGTGGGAGGGCTTCTATTGTCCTGGCCCCACTGGTGGTCCTCCTGATGGCACCTGGAATTTCTGGCCACTGTGTGACAGAGTGTTGGACTGGATGGGCCTTTGGCCTGATCCAACATTGGCATCTCTTATGTTCTTATGTTCTAGTGGACGCCCACCGCCTCACCTGAAGGCCCAGCGGAACAGCTCCGTTTTGCAGGCCCTGCAAAACTGTAATAGGTTTTCCGGGGCCTTGGTCTTGATTGGGAGCATGTTCCAACAGGCCGGGGCCAGGGCAGAAAAAGCCCTGGCCCTGTTTGATGCTAAGTGAACATCCTTTGGGCTGGGGACAACCAGCAGATGGTGGTCTGTGGAGCGCAAGGGGTGGTCCGTTAAACATGTCAGTCCCAGGCCGCATTGGGCTTTAAAGATCATAACCAGCACCTTGAAGCGAATCTGGTATTCGACTGGTAGCCAGTGCAATTGTCAAAGCACTGGCTGATTATTATCTGCCCGCACAGATGTTGCCGTTTCAGGTCTCTGATTCAATGCTGTACTGGTTTGTCTGTGTTTCTTGCAAAACCCTGAGGTCTAGAAATCTTCTGAATGCATCAGTCTCAGGGTTGGATCTAGACAGCTTATTCACACATTCTTAGGTGAGTTTCACACACTCAGCCCGGCCTTACCTCACTGGGTTGTTGACAGGATAAAACGGAGAAGGGGAGAATGCCATAAGCCACTCCGTTTAAATGAGACAACCAAAGTGGTGTATCAGGTTAGAACGTCAGACTAGGATCTGGATGGATTGTCCTATCATAGCACCCTTTTGGGATTAAATATTAGAGGGAATTAGGTGTATATCTGGTCACACTATAAAAAAGAACCCAGACTCTATACCCTTGAACCTTAGAAATGAAACTGCTTTATCTGCTATACAAAGAAAAAGAATTGCTTTAGAAGAAGAAGAAGAGATTGGATTTATGCCCCGCCTTTCACTACCCAAAGGAGTCTCAGAGCGGCTTACAAACTCCTTCCCCTTCCCCTCCCCACAACAGATACCCTGGGAGGTAGGTGGGGCTGAGAGAGCTCTGACAGAAACTGCTCTTTTTCAAGAACAGCTCTTATCAGAGCTACGGCTTGCCCAAGGTCATCCAGCAGGTGCAAGTGGAGGAGTGGGGAATCAAACCCGGTTCTCCCAGATTAGAGTCCGCGCACTTCACCACGACACCAAACTGGCTTTATTATTATTCGCTGCCAAAACAGCCATAGCTTCAAAATGGACATCAGAAATTAGACCATCCCTAAACTTATGGTACAAAAAATTATGGAACTTATACATAATGGGAAAAAGTATCCGACATAATGCATCCAACAAAATCTAATGGCAAATATAGTGGATTTACAATGATATGGCTGCCGATCTTATCCCATCTAGTTTCTCAAGGAACAAGAGCAGAGATAATAGACACACTTCATTTGGGGTAAATGTTGATGTCAACACTAAGCTTACGAAAAATGCTCTCTTTTAGGCTGTTAAGTTTATGTACACTTATCCTGTAAATGACTGTTATTACTTGTTGTTGGAATTTTGAAAATTGAATAAATTATATTTGTCATGATCTGGGCTGTGCCACCAGAGGCCTACTAGGCCCAGGGAGCCTGGCTAGCAGTAAGGGAGACTGGGGCTACAAACCCCAGAAGGCCTTGGGAAGTTTTGGCGCCATTTTTGACCAAGAGGGACCAAGAGGGCTGGGGAATATAGGAACTGGTACAAGAGGGAAAACTGTTCTTCTTCCCAGGGAACAGAGCCAGAAGGGACTGAGGCTGCTGTGGGGGAGAGACCCTCATCCTGAGGGAAGGGTGAGTGGTCTAAGGCCACTTGATAGTGAGCTAGGGACAGTATATATTTAGACGCGTTAGGGCATTTGATTCCTTTTCTTTTCACCCACTTACTGTTATTATTCTGCACCTTGTTTGTTTGACCTCCTATAAAACAAACCTTTTGCTTGTTGTTTACTCTGCCTGGTCCTCACGGCTATTATTCGGCCAAAAGGGAGGTCTGAAGGTCTTGGGAGGCTGCTCTGGGCCTTCTCAAGGGATCCTAAATCCAGAGTGGTGGCAGCGTCAGGTGGCAGCCCCTGAGCCGTGACAATATTGGAGGGGGGGGGGGAGACCAGGAGCTGGGAGATCCAGGTTAAAAAATGTAAATGCTTGCTGGGCGACTGGAGGCCCGTCACAGTTTCTCCAGCCTCACCAGGTAGTTGATAAGGGGAATGTCATAAGCCATTCTTGGCTCCCCATTGGGGAGACAAGCAGAGTCTGAAAAACGTAGGTGAATGATCTTACCTACTTCTCCTTTTTACCTCCTGTCTCCCACGGCTTTTGCCCGCACAAGTCCCATGATTCCCAGCACAGCCTTGTTGGTGGTGACCCAACCACAGTCTCCCTTTTTCACCAAGGGAGCCCACAGTTGGATCCAACCCTAAGTGTGCAGGCTTCTACATTTTCCGTCCCTGCCCGCTTCAGATGGACACAGATATTTCCCCCAAACTAACTTCCTTTATTCTCCCAGGCGCTTCCTTCACCCGATTCCAAACGCTGAGGCTCCAGAAGATCTTCCCAGATGTTTTGGCAGAGCAGCTGATCAGCTACGGAAGTTGCCAGTTCCCCACGCTGGGATTTGTGGTAGAAAGGTTTAAAGCCATCCAAGCCTTTGTGCCAGAGACCTTTTACAAAATTAAAGGTACATTTGGGAGTATCAAATGTTGGGAAGTCAGAAACGATTCAATTACAAATATGTAGACAGCAGAACATAAGAACATCAGAAGAGCGCTGCTGGATCAGACCAGTGAAGGTCCATCTAGTCCAGCATCCTGTCTCACACAGTGGCCAACCAGCTCCCCTGGAGGGCCAAAAGCAGGGCAGAGAGGCCAAGGCCTTCCCCTGATAGGAATCTCAAAAGAGTCCTGCTGGATCACTGGTCTGATCCAGCAGGGCTCTTCTGAGGTTCTTCTCAGGGGAAGGCCTCGGCCTCTCTGCCCTGTTGCTGGCCCTCCAGGGGAACTGGTTGGCCCCTGTGTGAGACGGGATGCTGGACTAGATGGACCGTTGCTGGTCTGATCCAGCAGGGCTCTTCTGAGGCTCTTCTCAGGGGAAGGCCTCGGTCTCTCTGCCCTGTTGCTGGCTCTCCAGAGGAACTGGTTGTCCACTGATTGAGATGGGATGCTGGACTAAATGGACTGTTGGTCTGATTCAGCAGGGCTCACCTGACGTTCTTAACAAATGCCATTGCCATTGTTGGGTGTGTCCTGTTTTTATTCTGTCTCTCCCTCCAAGGAGCTCCAAGTGCCATAAATTGCCCTCCACCCCATTGTGTTGCTGCGACAGCACTTTGAGGTTAGCTGCCTTCTCTCTGCAGTGACACACGATCACGAGGACGGCACGGTGGACTTCAACTGGAAGAGGAATCGTCTCTTCAACCACATGGCGTGCCTGATCCTCTATCAGATCTGCTTGGAGGTAGGACCCTTAACTGTGCAGTCAGTACCCTCTTAGTATTCCAAGGATCTCCTCTCTATTTTTTTCCCCCTTTTGTTTGTTTGCGTTCTCAGGATCCGCTGGCCACCGTGGTGGAGGTCGGGAGCAGGCCCAAAAGCAAATGGAGACCCTTGCCGCTGGACACTGTGGTACGCTCAGGAAAAAGCGATTTTGAAATGTTCCTATGAAAGGCTTCTGAGATAAGCTGGTAATTGAAGTCCCAACAAGCGAGGAGAGGGTTGCCAAAATAGAATCGACCAAACATACAAAAGCAACTTTGAAGAATACGAACAATATCTGTTTTTTTGCAAAAAATATTTATAGTGATATAAAATAAGCTGCCATTTAAAATGCAAATAAAGTACAAAGTGCGTAATTACATTTCAAAGACATACAGTTACAAGCGGGACATAGACCCCGCTGCATACAGTCTTAAAGGCAACAATTTTCTTTATGCTGTAAGAACAGAAAAATCTTTAACAGCTGAGGATAAATTCCTCAGAGCATGAAGAAGAAGAGAAGAGATTGGATTTATACCCGACTCTTCACTACCCAAAGGTGTCTCAGAGCGGTTTACAAACTCCTTTCCCTTCCCCTCCCCACAATAGACACCCTGGGAGGGAGGCTGGGCTGAGAGAGCTCTGACGGAAACTGCTCTTTTTCCAGAACAGCTGTGCCAGAACTATGGCTTGCCCAAGGTCATCCAGCAGGTGCAAGTAGAGGAGTGGGGAATCAAACTCGGTTCTCCCAGATTAGAGTCTGCGCTCCTAACCACTACATACTATATGACATGCCTGTTTCGAATCGATATCTTTATCAAGTTGTTAGTCTTCATAAGGCTTGTGGGACTTCCACTCGTTTCCAAGGATTCACAAGTGCACGGCGGCAAGCATCTATCCCAAGCCTGTCAAAAGGTTGTTGGCTGAGTCCCTTTAAGATTATATGCAGTGGAGTTTGTGTCCCGCTTGTAATTGAATGTCTTTCAGTGTAATTATGCTGTTTGTACTTTGTTTGCACGTTACATGATAGCTTATTTTATGTCACTGTAAATATTTTCGCAAAAAAAGATTTTGTTTATATTCTTTAAGGTTGCTTTTGTATGTTTGGTCCCAGTAATGGAAGTCCCAGTAGACCAGACTGTAACTCATCCTCTCTTCAAAAGCCTTAGCGAAAGAGAGAGCCAGTGTGGTGTAGGTCATACTAGGATCTGAATTGTTGCGAGCATAAAATGCAGGAGAGGACCACCCCGTAAGCTCCTTTGGGTTTCCACTGGGGGGAAAAACAGGGTATAAATTATCCAAACAAATACGTTTTCTCTTATGGGACTTAATAATGCGATCCTAAACAGAGTCACAACCTTCTGAGTCTCTTGATTTCTGTGGGCTTAAAAGTATGTATCTGCTCAGGACTGCACTGTCTTCCAGCACTTGAAATGTGTGGGTTTTTTTAAATAAGGCAGAGTTGGTTATTTTAAAAATGTCTACAGAAAACCCATGAAAATAGATTGGGGGGGGGAGCTGTGTTGGTCTGAAGCTATAGAGCAAAGTTTGAGTCCGGTGGCTCCTTTAAGACCAACAAAGTTTAATTCTGGGTATAAGCTTTCGTGTGCATGTTGAATTAAACTTTGTTGTTCTTAAAGGTGTGTACACACATGGAAGCTTATACCCAGAATTAAACTTTGTTGGTCTTAAGGTCTTAAAGATTTTTGTGCCCACGAAAGCTTATACCCAGAATTGGACCTTGTTGGTCTTAAAGTTGTGCATGCACTGAAAGCGTATACCCGGAATTAAGCTTTGTCGGTCTTAGAGGTGTGCATGCACACAAAAGCTTATACCCAGAATTAAACGGTGTTGGTCTTAAAGGTGCCACTGGATTCAAACTTAGTTCTACAGGCGACCCAACTGCACGCCAAGGCTCCTTCATAACTTGCATGCTGGGAGCCTTACCCAGATCTCTGCACCCATCCTCCAGTTGTGGAACCGTTATAGATACAGTAGCAGTTAAGAGCTGCGGACTCCAATCTGGAGAGCCGGGTTTGATTCCTCACTCCTCCTCCACATGAAACCCGCTGGGTGACCTTGGGTCAGTCACGGTTCTCTCAGAGCTCTCTCAGCCCCACCTGCCTCACAAGGTGACTGTTGAGGAAAGGGGGAGGGAAGGTGATTGTATGCCACTCCGAGACTCCTTCATGTAGTGAAGAGCGGGGTATAAAACCAACTCTTCTTCTTCTCCTCCTTTTGAAAATGAAACAAGCACTGTGCTGCATTCCTTTCAGGCTGTGTGATGGAGACGGCAGGGAAGAAAACGTCCAGCGATGCCAAAATTTTCAGGTGTCTGACAAATGCACTGTAATTGCAGTACCGCTGCCAATATCTCAGCTTCTTTTAGGTGCAAGCATTGATGCGTTACTGTTACCTCACACTGATCACGTCTGTTTCTTCTCCTCGCTCAATGGCACAGGAACTTGAGAAGCTGGCTTCTCGTAAGCTGAGAATAAACGCCAAAGAAACGATGAGGATTGCTGAGAAACTCTACACTCAGGGGTAAATAAAAATAAAAATCCCCCCCTTTCTTTGCACTGATGGTACAAAATAAGCGACTTTTATCCTGGAAAAGGGTCGGTGGGTGCTAGAGTGATAGATCAGGGCCGCTTGCAAGTTATTTCGAGCTTCAATCGAATTCTGATCTTGTTACATATTTTGTTGTTTTTGCTATCCTCTCCCATGCCCCGAGCAAGGGTGAAGTAGGAACCCTTTCCTTCTTTCTGTTAAAAGGCCACATAGGCCGAAACAGAGTATGCAAACTTATATTATCGGAACAGAGTTGCAAAAACCCTTGCCACTCAAAAAGTAACATCGGAATCAAAATCCGAATGAAGAAGAAGAAGTGATTGGATTTATACCCCGCCCTTCACTACCCAAAGGTGTCTCAGAGCGGCTTACAAACTCCTTTTCCTCCCCCTCCCCACAACAGACACCCTGTGAGGTCGGTGGGGCTGAGAGAACTCTTGACAGAAACTGCTCTTTTTCAAGAACAGCTCTTATCAGAACTGTGGCTTGCCCAAGGTCATCCAACCAGGTGCAAGTGGAGGAGTGGGAAATCAAACCCGGTTCTCCCAGATTAGAGTCCGCGCACTTAACCCCTACACCAAACAGCCAGGTAATCTTAGGTTCAAGGTCACATGAGCATCAGAAAGAGGTCAAAGATGAGGCAAAATGAATTCCTTCCTAGCTTCTGCTCTCAGAGGGCAATCAGTGTCAGATTCCCGGCCAAGTTACTCTCAGCAACGCTTTCTTTTCAGAGATTTGCTTATTGAGAAAATAAGTAAGTTCCAGGGAAAAGCATTGCTGTGTGAGAAGTAACGATTCTTAGTGGGGCCCTTGATAATATAGGCCAGGGGTGGCCAAGCTTGCTTAACGCAAGAGCCACACAGAAGAAACATCAGACGTCTGAGAGCCACAAGACATGAACCAATATCACACACGTTTTTATTGGGAAATATGCAAATTTGCTTTTCATCAACATTAACCTCCAGTAAGACTGCCAGAAATAAAAAGCAAAAGGCATAAAAATAGATACTGATCGTGATATTTGGATGCTTTCTCCAAGCCGGGCGTGCTTTGAGAACGCATTTAAAGTTGCTTTCTTTTTCTGCTTCCCCGCCACTTCAATTCTACCCAGGGAGGGAAGCACTGGCCGGGAAAGGGAAGACCGATTGGGGAGGCGTGCCTCCCCTTCACTTCCCCAGCTGCCCTGCCAGGAGCCACATGTGGCTCCTGAGCCACAGTTTGGCCACCCCTGACATAGGCGATTCAAAAGGACCCCTCCCCAATCGTTGTCTCTCTCTCACAGACACAAGTACATCCCATTCTTCTCACCTAGCCATTTGCATCTACACTCCCCCCCCCCCTTATGGGAATATATGGTCCCACCCTCTACAAAGCAAGCAGGCTCCAGAAAGTCTCTGGTCTTCCTCCCCTGGGAGGTGGTGCCATCCTTCAAAAAGTTAAAAGCCAAAAGGTTCAAACACATCGATCACTCCCCTCCCCGCAGGAATTCCCTTTCCCCCTTTTATTATGGCAAACAGAGCTGGGGGTGCGGAAGTTTGACCGTCAAAGACCATGCGAGCTGTCGTCTCCATCCTACTTGTGGAACACTGGCAGATTCTGTCTGAATAAGGTGGTCCTGTACAGTGTTCCCTCTAAGCTGTGGAGCCTTGTGAGCAAAAGTTCTACTTTGTGAGCTATTGGCATGAAAGCTGTGAGCAAGTGATTTGGCTAATGCATAAATTAGTGTGCTCTGGAAGCATCCTTCCTGAGCTAAGACAAAAACATGTGAGCCAGAGGATAAAAAATTGTGAGCTAGTTCACACTAACTCAGCTTAGAGGGAACACTGGTCCTGTAATGATTCCATATTTTGGTGTGTGTGTGTGTTCCTTGAAATTTTTAGTTTGACTGCAGTAATACGAGAAGAGTGATAGAGGGAGACAAGTACATTGCGACTGGCTGATGACTTAGAGTGTGGGAAGAGAGATGTTCTGAGAGGAATATCTGTGTGTGTGTTTATGAGGAGATTCTGTGATAGAAGAGAGTCAAGTATGGAAGAGTTTTGAAGAGAGTCTGTGTGACTCTGAGAATTATGAAGGATTCTGTGTGTGAAGCTTGAAGAGAGAACACAGTCTGTGTGAGTATGGAATTCTGAGTCTAATTCTGTGTGAATAAGACCAACAGTTTAGTCTGTGTGACTAAGAGAGTTGATTCTATTCAGTGTGAATTAAAAAAAGAGACTAGCCGGTGTGGCTATATATATGAGTGTATAAGCCTGTCAGAATGGAGTTTGGAGTTTGAGAAACTGTTTGTGGCACCAAGCTTTTCCAGTTATACTTACAAGTTCCTTTCTTCAGCAACTGTTCAAAATAACCAGAGACCTATTTTGTTCTTTACTGGATAAATCATTTTTGTTTAAACTTATCCCAGGAATCAGTACAGTACAGTACTTTCTCAGGGCCACATAATCCTCTGAAACGCCCAGACCCTAGGTCATACTATCAAAAAAGAGATTTGGAATTTTTAATTCCTGGTGGCAGCAAACAACTACCAAGTTTATGTACTCAGAGAGTGTTTAAAGGTAAAACCGTCTCCCCAGTAAGCAGGCACGCCACATGTCCATTTAACACTGAGGTGGGTGAGTAGTCCGTGGGTGCCAACAGAAAGGCTCACCGCCGCTTTGGAACCTTCAGCTTATAAAAATACGGTGGTGTTTTCCAATGGAAGGTCAGTCCAAGTACAGTAGAAGAACAGAGCATGTAGATACATGCTGAAATAGAAATGCAACCAAAAACATTTGGTCCTTCTTTCCCTCTCTCTCCCCCACCCCTCTTTTTAAAAAGGTACATCAGCTATCCCCGAACGGAGACCAATATTTTCCCCAAAGACATCAACCTCCCCGGCTTGGTGCAGCTTCAGACCCGAGATCCCCGCTGGGGAGCTTTTGCCCAAAGGATTCTCGACCAGGGTGGGCCGACCCCCCGGAATGGGACGAAATCGGATCAGGCCCACCCCCCCATTCACCCCACGAAATACGCCGACAATTTGCAGGTGAGGTTGCACGGCCGGGTGTGCTCTGCGTCGTTTCCGACCTCATTTGGAATACTGTGTGCAGTTCTGGTCACCACACCTTAAGAAGGATATTATAGCATTGGGAAAAGTACAGAAAAGGGCAACTCGAATGATAAAAGGGTTGGAACACTTTCCCTATGAGGAAAGGTTAAAGCACTTGGGGCTCTTTGGCTTGGAGACATGATGGCTGAGGGGTGACCTGATCGAGGTTTACAAAATTATGCCTGGGATAGAGATGGCAGAGAAAGAAGCGCTTTCCCCCCTTTCTCACAATACAAGAACTCGTGGGCACTCCATGAAATTGCTGAGCGGTCGGGTTAGAACGGATAAGAGGAAGTCCTTCTTCACCCAAAGAGTGATTAACACATGGAATTCACTGCCACAGGAAGTGGTGGAGGCTACAAGCATGGACGGCTTCAAAAGGGAATTAGATAAGCGTATGGAGCAGAGGTCCATCAGTGGCTATTAGCCACAAGTTATAGATAGGGGCTCTGGGGCAAGTGATGCTCTGTCATCTTGGTGCTTTGGGGGGGGGGCAACAGTGGGAGGGCTTCTAGTGTCCTGGCCCCACTGCTGGACCTCCTGATGGCCCCTGGTATTTTTGGCCACTGTGTGACAGAGTGTTGGACTGGATGGGCCTTTGGCCTGATCCAACATTGGCGTCTCTTATGTTAGCATTGCTTAGCTGCTTGTCTAAAGTGACGTTTAGAAATTGTTTACTTTGTTTACTCATCGTGGCCAGAAGGCATGGGGTGTATGGGGTTCCAAAGTGGCTCGCAACATTATTTTTCGTTTCTGGACAAAATCTGTATCCCGCCTTTCTGCCCTTGCAAGAGCCACCGAGGGGGCAAACAGCTGAAGACGTATATGACAGAAATACACCATTCAAAACCATTGAAATCAACACCTCTCCCAAACACGCATCACCGAAACAGTGGAGAAAGCAGAGTAAAAATACATGGAGGTGGAAAGTGCCCTCAAGTTGCAGCCGACTTAAGGCGACCCCGCAGGGTTTTCAAGGCAAGAGAGGAGCAGAGGTGGTTTGCTATTGCCTACCTTTGTGTAGCGATGGCGAACCTAAACAGCATGATAAAAAGTAGAGACATCACCCTGCCAACAAAAGTCCACATGGTCAAAGCAGTGGTATTCCCGGTAGTCATGTATGGCTGCGAGAGTTGGACTATAAGGAAGGACGAGCGCCGAAGAATAGATTCTTTTGAACTATGGTGCTGGAGAAGACTCTTGAGAGTCCCTTGGACTGCAAGAAGATCAAATCAGTCAATCCTAAAAGAAATCAACCCTGACTGTTCCTTGGAAGGCCAGATACTGAAGCTGAAGCTCAAATACTTTGGCCACCCAATGAGAAGGGAGCACTCGCTGGAGAAGACCCTGATGCTGGGACAGAGTGAAGGTCAAAGCAGATGGGGACAGCAAAGGATGAGATGGTTAGACAGTGTCATCGATACAACGAACATGAAATTGAGCCAACTTCAGAGGACGGCGGAAGACCGGAAGGCCTGGCGTGATCTGGTCCATGGGGTCGCGAAGAGTCGGACTCGACTGTGCGACTGAACAATACCAACAACCTTTGTGTGGGAACCCTGGACTTCCTCTGTGGTCTCCCATCCAGATACTCACCATGGCTGACGCTGCTTAGCTTCCGAGATCTGATGAGATGGGGCTAGCCTGGGCCGTCCAGGTCAGGGCAGAAGACATGCAGAGGTGTTTTCCCATCGCCCTGCCTCTGCATATCAACCCTGGACTTCCCTGGTGGTCTCCCATCCAAGTGCTAAGCATGGCTGACCCCACTTACGTTCTGAGGTCTAATGAGACCGGGCTAACCGGGGCCTTCCAGGGCACTCAAACCCACACACGAAAAATAGCCCTGACCTGGCTAAGCCCAGTCTCAGCCGATCTCGGATGCGAAGCGGGGCTGACCCCGGCAAGTATTTGGGTGGGCGACCTCCAAGGAATCCCAGAGGCAGGCTATCAAGCCACTTCTCTGAATGTTCTCCGTGCCCCAGGAGGAGTCACCAGAGGTTGCCAGTTTGATGTAGTGGTTAAGTGCGCGGACTCTTATCTGGGAGAACCCGGTTTGATTCCCCAGTCCTCCACTTGCACCTGGCTGGATGACCTTGGGCAAGCCGTAGTTCTGATGAGAGCTGTTCTTGAAAAATAGCAGTTTCTGCCAGAGCTCTCTCAGCCCCACCTGCCTCACAGGGTGTCTGTTGTGGGGAGGGGAAGGGAAGGGAAAGGAGTTTGTCAGCCGCTCTGAGACACCTTTGGGTAGTGAAGGGCGGGGTATAAATCCAATCTCCTTCTTCTGTGTAGTGGTTCAGTGTGTGGACTCTAATCTGGGAGAACCGGGTTTGATTCCACACTCCTCCACTCGCACCTGCTGGATGACCTTGGGCAAGACGTAGTTCTGATGAGAGCTGTTCTTGAAAAAGAGCAGTTTCTGTCAGAGCTCTCTCAGCCCCGCCAACCTCACAGGGTGTCTCTTGTGGGGAAGGGAAGGGAAAGGAGTTTGTCAGCCGCTCTGAGACACCTTTGGGTAGTGAAGGGGCGGGGTATAAATCCAATCTCCTTCTTTTGTGTAGTGGTTCAGTGTGTGGACTCTAATCTGGGAGAACCGGGTTTGATTCCACACTCCTCCACTCGCACCTGCTGGATGACCTTGGGCAAGATGTAGTTCTGATAAGAGCTGTTCTTGAAAAGGAGCAGTTTCTGTCAAGAGCTTTCTCAGCCCCGCCAACCTCACAGGGTGTCTGTTGTGGGGAGGGGAAGGGAAAGGAGTTTGTAAGCCGCTCTGAGACACCTTTGGGTAGTGAAGGGCAGGGTATAAATCCAATCTCCTCTTCTTCTTCTGTGTAGTGGTTCAGTGCGCGGACTCTAATCTGGGAGAACCGGGTTTGATTCCACACTTCTCCACTCACACCTGCTGGATGACCTTGGGCAAGCCGTAGTTCTAATAAGAGCTGTTCTTGAAAAAGAGCCGTTTCTGTCAGAGCTCTCTCGGCCCCACCTGCCTCACAGGGTGTCTGTTGTGGGGAGGAGGAGGGAAAGGAGTTTGTAAGCCGCTCTGAGACACCTTTGGGTAGTGAAGGGCGGGGTAGAAATCCAATCTCCTCTTCTTCTTTTGTGTAGTGGTTCAGTGCGCGGACTCTAATCTGGGAGAACCGGGTTTGATTCCACACTGCTCCACTCACACCTGCTGGATGACCTTGGGCAAGCCATAGCTCTAATAAGAGCTGTTCTTGAAAAAGAGCAGTTTCTGTCAGAGCTCTCTCGGCCCCACCTACCTCCCAGGGTGTCTGTTGTGGGGAGGGGAAGGGAAAGGAGCTTGTAAGCTGCTCTGAGACACCTTTGGGTAGTGAAGGGCGGGGTATAAATCCAATCTCCTCTTCTTCTTCTGTGTAGTGGTTCAGTGCGCGGACTCTAATCTGGGAGAACCGGATTTGATTCCACACTGCTCCACTCACACCTGCTGAAAAAGAGCCGTTTCTGTCAGAGCTCTCTCGGCCCCACCTACCTCACAGGGTGTCTGTTGTGGGGAGGGGGAGGGAAAGGAGTTTGTAAGCCGTTCTGAGACACCTTTGGGTAGTGAAGGGCGGGGTAGAAATCCAATCTTCTTCTGCCATGGCTTTCAGGCACAGGGGCACACGCACGCACACAGAATGCAAAAAGTACTCAAAAATATACATAGACATCATTTAAAAAACAATTAAAACATTGGTCAGGAAGGAGAGATCACCAAGGGAATGCCAAACGACACGAAAACACCTTCATCCTCTGGTGGAAGACGGCGACAGAAGAGGACAGACGAATCTCCCTGGGGAACAGAGTTCCAGAGCTTTGGTGCCATCACTAAGAAGGCCCTTTCCTTGAAAATTTCAAGTTAATGTAGAGATCAACAGGGATTTGCTCATTTCTGGAATATTGGGAAACAAAAAAGTGGAAAGAAATAAGCGGGAGTTATATAAAATTATGGTTCTAGCCGGGATGGCTGTAATAGCATTGGGATGGAGGGACAGGCACAAATGGACAATGGAAAATTGGAATAATTATGTCTTTGAACACGTACAATTAGATATATTCGCACAGATAATTACTGAAGAGACATGGGAGGAGAAATGTCAAAAGATTACAAATAAATGGGGGGGATATAAGGAATGGGTGGAAAGGGGAGAAGCCAATCCAAATATCCAAATACGAATGAAGAATCTGTGCACATGGTTAAAAATATGAAAATACTACAAGGAGGGAGGGGGGAGGGAGTGGGGTAAAATGATTGTATAATGATTTAATGTAAGATAATGTATCACAGCTTCA